TCTCTTTAGGCAAGCACACTCAGAGGCTGGAAGGAAGAAGTCTTTTTTTGGCCCATTTGGCGTGGAAGTACGAATCGGAGCTTGTAGAGGCGAAGGCTGCGGGGGTGAGGGACTCCTTCCTCCCGCCTCCTCCCCCACACCCATCCTTCTCTTGCTCAGAATATATCTCCACCTGGAGGTTGTGAACGCGGCGGTGCAAAGGTGTCTATTCTCTTACCCGCTAACATGCCAATGTCCGAGCATATCCTCTATGCGAAGCCGCTCGTAGTTACGGAAGAGAAGTTGAGAGAGGCTCGAGAAAAGCAGCAGAAGCAGAGAGCACTTCGGGAGGCACTAGATACGCAAATAGAGCAGTCCAAAAAGCGCAAGCAAGGCGGAGCCTCTCAAAAAAAGAATGGTTCTGGTGCCGCAAATGATGGAGTAGGGCAACGGTACACTTTCAGCTATGAAAATGGATATGGTAAGTTTGTTCAGCGAGATGAAGATACAGATATAATTGAAAATCCAACGACGACATCAATAAAGAGGGCAGGGCAGAATAAGCCCGCAAGCCCTACGGCTCAACAACGGCCCCTCTACCAGTCGAACTCACTTCCACCAAACTTTGCAATGAGTACGTCAGAATCAAACCCTTTAGCGCCCAAACGGCCCGAGTACAATACCAAATCCCTTCCTGTCGACTTAGTGAGTAATAAAGCCAAAATTAATGGTGCTTGCAACATCGTCTCGCCGCGTATTCGGGAGCTCTTACCACGAGGCAGGTCTTCTCAACGAAGTCCTCCGCCTATGGATGCATCTGGTGAGGCCGAGTATCAGACAAACTGTCTCCCGCGTAACTTCAACCTGGAGGATGTGAAGAAGCAGTTCCAGCAACAGCAGCAGCAGCAACGGCTTCCTTTAAGCCCCCAGAGGACCGGGGTTCCTGCTGGTGGATTACGATCCCCATTCTCTATTTCTCCCCGAACACCGAAACGCCCAGGAGGTCCACTGCCTCCGTTAGAGCATCTCGAGGGGGCGAATGGAAGGCGGGCATCAGGACGGGTGTCACCAACGTTCGAAGTTGATGGCTCGCCGACACTGGAGCATTTAGTGGCCCAGGGTCAGGGCCCAGGAACTCCGCGGCCACTGAAGCCAAAGCAACCACCTGCGCTACGTAGAAAGTCGAATGAAACACGCGCCCGCCCCACTCCCGGAGCTGTGGCACCCCGCAGTGTTCAGACAAGAGTCACAGAGAACAAGGTGGAGAGGTTACAAAAGGAGCTGGAGTCGCGCGACTTTGCAATGGCGAAAATGCGTGAAAAGGAAAGAAATTGGGAGGAGCAGGTGAAGCAGTTGAAATTAGAGTTAAAGAATGCAAGAAAGAAAGAACGAGACCTGAACAAGTTGGTCAAGGAGGGACCAAGGAGAGCAGAGACGGCACCTGATCAACCTGTTGAGTCGACGCCAGTGCTGGGTTCTCCCGGCACGGGTGGAAAGAAAGGCGTCAGGTCCCCATCTGCCCTTCACTTGGGGAAAAAGCAGAATTTTGCCAAGAGTCGTATTTTCACGCAAGAAGCCTTTCGCGCCATCAGTGCTCCGTCTGAGGTTGCGTCGACATCATATGTCCCACTCTCGCCAAGCCCCTTGCCACCGCTACAGGAGTCCTTTAAGTGTGCTTCTGTTTTGACGCGAAAGACTGCCTTTGGTCTCCCTCTGGAGCATGCCAATCGGCCGGTCTCAATTGAGTATGAGCATCTTTTACAGTTTGTGAAAGAGCAGATTATCACACAACAGCAGGCGGATGGACTGTGGCGCCTCTTCACCAATGAAGTGTCACCACTTTCACTCCTCCGTCGGCAGTCGGGGGGTGCCCGTGTCGTCGGGGGTCCGGTGGTGGTCGACAACAGCACCTTCCTGCCACGTGAGAAATCACCACCTGAGTTGGAGCACGACATTGCGGTTCAAGACGATGAAATTGAAAAGGAACAAAGTGACGAATTGGAGACGGGGTTCGATAACGGCAAGGCGCATTATGGCGAAGGCATTTCAGACGAGCCAGACACCTTTGAGACATTTGCTGAACTCCACTTGGAGGAATACCTGTCCCAGGAGGAGTCAGATGCCGAATGATTTTTTTTTCTTCGTGGAACCGTACTCGTTGCATGTGTTGTGTGTTTATATATATGTGAAAGTGGTTAACCGTCTGTGTGTGTGTGTGTGTGTGTGTGTGTGGTTGTGGTACGTTTCCAACTGAGAGAGATACGGAGAGATTTGTTGGGCTCTATGTAGATAGCCAAGTAGTGTGTCGTCGCTTTCCTTGTTTTTTTTGTCTCGTTTCGCACTGCATAGAGCGCTCTGGCTCGAGTGCAAAAGACGAGGAATACGGCTACATAGCTTTGGCGAGTCCTTTTATGTGTTTTCTTCCCTGTTTCAGCGCCTCTCCGCCGCTATTTACCTTCCCTGCTGCTTCTGTTTGCTCTCTCCCGTTCTCTCTCCCCTGTATGCTGAACTCCCTGTTGGATTTGGAACACCTGACGAGCAATACAGCAGTGCCGCAGAGAGTGAAGTAAATGAGAGTCGGAGAGAGAGGGAAGCGGTCATGCGCTTTTCTCTGCCCTATCTTCGTGTTTCTGTTATACCCTTATTCACCTTCTATTGGACATATATGCGTTTATACATACATATATATATATATATATGTGTATAAATGTTTGTGCATGTCTGTATGTGTGCCCGTGTTTCTTCGTAATGTTTGTACTGGAGTGCATCAGCGTAACAGTTGTAGAATTTTGTTCTGTTTATGTATCTCCCTAGCTCGTTCCCGTTTTTTTTTTTTGTCCGTTCCTCAACGATGACATCACCGCAGGGCTAAATGATTGTGAATGCTGAGAAGCGTACCATCGACTTCAGCAACAACCCAACAGGTAAGCTGGATGGCGAGATCCTAACAAATCTTCGCGATGCACTTAATCACAATGACAGCTTCTGCAGGCTCGTGTTCAACAACAACCAGCTGGCGGAAGATGCGATTGGGATTTTGGCCGCCATTCTCAAGGGACGCACTCCCATTGAGCACCTCTCCCTCACCTCCTGTAACCTTCATGACGTGGACGTCATGCTCATCGCCAACGCTGTGTGTGCCAGGAAGGTGCTCAAGTACCTCGACCTCTCAAAGAACCCAGGCATCACCAGCGCATCGGTGCCGGATATTGCAAGAATGATACGCATTATTCCTTCACTGCAGACAGTTATGTTGAGTGGGACGAGTCTTGAGGGTCGCAGTTGCGCCAAGATCCTCGATGCGCTGGAGCGGAGCCAGCGCCTCAGCGTTCTTGAGCTTCCCTACACAGTAGGCTTCAAGATCCTCGACAGCGCGCGCAACATCATTGAAAAAAGAGAGAAGGAACGCCCTGCTGCAGCAGATAAGAACGTTCTGGCGGAGGACAAAGTACCAGTGAGACGCGTGCTTATCGGCAGTTTAGCGGAAAATGCCACTGACCCTTGGAGGAGGCGGTTGTTGCCGCGCTTAGTCCCGCCGCAGGGAGACCAAACGTCCAGAGGGTCACTGGCACCCAGTGCGAGGCCGCAAAACCCCGCGAACAGTCTACAGATGATGGAGTTCCGCCACTGGGCGGACCCAGCGGTGAAGAACGCCGCGGTGCATCTTCACGTGCTTGACAAGCGCTGCCATCTCCTGGAGGTGCACAAACAAGAACGGCGCGAGCGGATCCAGGCAAGGTGCGGTCTTGGTGAACGGGCGGCCAACACTAGCTTAAGTACAATACACAGGTTGTGAATGTCGTCTGTGTCTTGGGCAAGGTGAAGAGTAAGCCACGGTTTTTGTGGCTGGTGCAACAAAAATCAGGAAGCAGACCCTTCTCCAAGTAGGCTAGGAAGTTCTGTTGTGTTTGATCGGAACTGCCTCTTGATTGCTCTTTGTGTCTCTGTGTCTATTTATTGGTGTCGGTGTTGGTGTGTTTACCTGTGCGAGGGGAAGGGGTGAGAAACTCTATCCGGTGATACCTGGGAGCAATCAATGTAAATGACTGCTGTGCGCATTTTCAATACCTCTTTGCTATTTGCTTTGATGGACTGTACCCTCTATTTCTGACAGCAGGCTTGCACTGCCACACGTAGGGTGTCATGTTCTTTTTTTGTTTGTTTAATTTTTGTACTGTACTTCGTTGTGCATCTTGAAATGCGTGTTTTTCTGTTGTCCGCTCTCTTTTTCTTATTCCTCTTCGCCCCGTCCGCTGTAATTGGCGTGAATGCTGAAAGGAAGGGGGGACGGGTGCGGTTCGGCAGCTGGCCGGAGCATACATCTACCACCAATGCGCTGCTTTAGAGTGCTGCACAACTTCGACGCGCAAGACACTGTTGAGCTTACTGTGAAGAAAGGGGAAGTTGTCGTTGCCGTCGAGAACGATGTCCAGGAAGGGTGGATCAAAGTCGAGGTGCTCAACGACGGGCAGCGCCGGGGTTTCGTGCCCCTTAACTACCTGCGCGAGACTGCGCAACCGCTTGACGAAAGCGGTGGCCCACCACAACCGAATTTGGCAGCAGCCCCAGGCCCAGCAACGGCCTCCGTGCCGCGACAGCCTTCTGCAATCCCGAGGGAGTCGCCGTCGTCCTTCACCTCGGCCGCACTTGACTACGGCGATACGCTGAAGAACATGTACGCCAGCGCCACGCGCGAACCATCGGTGGCTTCACGCCGGAGCCGCTCAGCGGAGCACGGCCACTGGCGTGCGGGCGCCCCGACCCCAGCGACGGCGGTGACGGTGGCGGAGCAGCAGCAACAGCAGCAGGCGCAGTCCAGCGTAGACGCCGCGTCGAGCCGCTCACTTCTTAACGACCCGAATGCGGTGGTTGAGGCGTTCATGAAGAATGAACTGCACTTCAAGCAACTCGTGCGACAGCGCCAGGACGCACTCGCACAGATGCGCTCCACACTAGAAGGTGCAATGGCCGATGTGGCTGCGTGCAAAGAGAAGAACGCCACACTGGCGCGCAAGCTGCGTGACTTGGATCAATGTGTAGAGAAAGAGCGGAAGCGCTGGAAGGATAGAATCGAGGAGGAAAGGGCGTACATCAGCCGCTCCGTATCGCATGAGCATCCCGGCAGCGTAACGGCCGGCAGTCCCCCCGCGTCCAGTCGCTACTGACGGTGCGAGTACAATAGAAGGGCAAGTGAATGGATTCGCTTACTTAAAGTGTGCGCTCTGACGTCCCAGCTCACGTGCAATGGCTCTCATCTGTCCTTCTTTTCCCCTTTGCTCTTTGTTTTTGCTTTCTGTGAATTGCAAACTCTCTCACTCACACACACCCACACACACACACATAGATAAGACGGATTGAGTTAAAAAAAGGGGGGAACAAAAACGGCAAAAGTATAAGTAAATGGGCGATATAAAGGACGAGGGATACGTCACGAAGATGTCGCCCCCGCTGAATTTCGCTCTTTACAGTAGCCTTCTTCTTAATATTGTCAGCAGCGTTGGGGTGATCATCATTAATAAGCGTCTGGTGTTCATAGAAGCCAACTTCCGATTCGGTACTCTTCTCACAGTCATTCACTTCGTTGTATCGTTTCTCGGATGTCTTCTTTTCGCGAGACTGGGCTGTTTCAGCATCAAGTCCCTCAGTATTCCGAAGGTGCTGCCTATCAGCATGGCGTTCTGTGGTTACGTGGTGTTCAACAACATGTCTCTGCTCACCAACTCGGTAAGCGTGTACCAAACCTCAAAGATTATCTGCACACCTCTCATTGTGTGGATCGAACATGTTTATTACCACAAGCGCGAGGATGTCTGGACGCTGATCTCTCTGGCACCAATATGTTTTGGCGTTGCTTTCACGGTATATTCAGATACGAACTTGAATCCTATGGGGACTCTCTGGGCATTTTTGGCAATTATTTCGAACTCGCTCTATACAATCTGGGGAAAAACAAAACAGACAGAACTGGGGGTGTCGCCAATGCAGCTTTTGACTTATCAGGCCCCGCTTAGCGCCCTTATACTATTGTTTGCGCTTCCTATTGATGGAATTGGGAACCTCATGGCGTACAAGGTGACCTTTACGACAGTCTGGACAATTGCACTTTCTTGTATCTTTGCGTTTGGTGTCAACTTCTCATTCTTTCTCTTTGTTGGTCAAACTTCACCACTTTCAATGAACGTTGTGGGCTACTTGAAGACTGCACTGGTCTTCGTTGGTGGTTTCGTGTTTCTTTCATCGGAGGCGACCGCTAAGACAGTTGCTGGGGTGCTTCTGACCCTACTTGGTCTGGCGTTTTACACTCAATCGAAGATGCGGGTCGCATCGATCGAGGCATCTTTGAAGGAGTCCGTCTGAGAGGCCCACACACACACACACACACCAGATGAGAAGCGAAACGAGAGTGGATCTCTTCCTATTCCAGTCTGTTCCCTTTTTCGTTGTTTTAACTCCCTCTCTTCCTTATTTGTTTGCCGGTCGCGATGTGAAAATATTTTTGTGGTGCATTTTTTTTTTTTTCTTCTCCTTCGCTTTATTGTTGTCGTCGTGTGCTTTTCTTCGTCCGCCTTGTTTCTCGGGCCTTTCTGTCTCCCTCAGGCAAACAACAGATACAGAGACACAGACACACGCCCGCATCGGGGTAACTTCTCCTTCCCCCATGGCCCAAAACCCTGAGAACCGCGACGTTGTGGAGGCATTCGCTGCGCCGGCCGCTGAGGTGGCCCTCATGCTGCTGCGCGGGCGGAGAGACGCGGAGGAGCACGGGCACCGCACCAGTGCGGTTCGTCATTCGCTTCTTCTTTTACTGTTGAACATGCTTAGTGCTGTGTGTACTACAGGGAGCGAATGGAAAATGGAGGCAACTCTAAAACTGTATATTGTANCTTTTACTGTTGAACATGCTTAGTGCTGTGTGTACTACAGGGAGCGAATGGAAAATGGAGGCAACTCTAAAACTGTATCTTGTACTTTGGGTCTCTTTAAAGACGGAGTGCTTGGGGTCTTGCATCGCTAATGTCGAGAATATCGCGCCATGGCAACGTGAGGCTCTGCAAGAAGGCAGATCCGGGGAGCATCGTTTGTCGCGCATTGTATTCACGGGTGATGGGGCTACGGCGATTCGGTGCAACGAGCTTCTTCTATCGTGAGTTGTGATGCAGGTTCTTCTCCCATACTGTCGTTGCTGGAAAGGAATAGATATATGGGAGTGCGCGGAGCACTGCTGCAGCGACCCCTTCCTCCTCTGGGCTGAGGAAACTCTCTGCACAAGCACTGACACCGCGCCAGCACTCCAGGGGTTGGGGCTGCCTCGAGTAAATCAGTATGTCACGGCGATGATTGTTTTGCTAGGTGCAGATGCAGTAGTCTGGGAGAGGCAAGCTGATGTGTTCACGGACGCATATCTCCGCACCCTCATTGCCGCAACTGTCCTGCCATCTTCACCGGAATTTTTCGTGGAATTGACAAGTAGCATCCGAAATGGTGTCATTCGAGGTGATCGCTTGTACCACGAAGACTTGCGTCTTTTGCTGGAGACGTTGCGGAGATACGTTACCCTCGACGTGGATGAGGGACGTGTGCATGCGGTGCTCTCCGCCACCGATGTCCTGTTGAACACCGCATGCCCAGTGGGCGGTGACAACGAAACTATGCGCGGAGTTGAGGCGGCTTGCCAGTGGTTCGAGCTTCTGGAGCTCGAGTACGATTACCGCGCGGTGCTTGTGCGTGGTGCTGTTGATGGCGAGGTGCTGCGCTCCGGTCTCAGACTGTGTGACGTGCAGCAGATGGGTATCTGCTGCGAGCGTGATGCCGCCGCGTTGGTACGGGTGTTGAATGCTCATCCGCAGGGGAGACGGGTTCCGGGCAGTTAGCAGGAGCTCGCCAACCTTTCTTCGCTGCGGTGGCCCTGCTCCTTCACACTATTCCTCTCTCTTTTCTTATTCTTGTTGTATTTCAGGAGGGTGGATTTTGTACAAACTCACACATGCTCATTTGCTTTTCTGGTGTGTCACCTTCCTTTTGTTTTTCGTTTGCTCCATTCTTATTCGCCCCCATAGGAGTATACGCACATTTGCAAACATCGCTCCTGCTGTTTGACAGCGTGCCCGCGTGTTGTCACTGCCAGGACGCGACCCCAAGTGGACACACACCTCCAATGGTCTTGACAGACTCACACGCCAAGCACAACGGTTAGCATCGAGGTGAAGCATATACACACACTTCCAACCCACGCGGCCCCTCACCAAGAGGGAGATAACAGGGTAGGGAAGCGAAGGAACTTCCGGAACTTGGGAAGCAGGCAAAGACAAGAAACCAGAAGATAAAAAACACACACACACAATCCAGTACAAAAAAAAAGGAAATATGGAAAATGGCTACAGGGATTCACTCTCCGGAAGCAAGAAGGTGGAGTCGCTGGCCGACTTTCAAGTTTGTGAAAGTCTGCTCTTCGAACTTGACTCGGAGGAGGACGACCTCTTCCTCGCGATCGATGCTGTTGGGCAACAGCTGATGCCGTCCTCGTGCTTCACTGACGAGGATCTCTCCAAGGTCCTCGGTGTCTCCAGCGCATCCAATAGCTGCACAAGGATTCAGCCGGAAGCCACACTGAGCCACGACGCGCCACTGCAAGGGCCCGGCGTTCTGCGAGGCGTCCACATTCCTGCAGCAAAGTCAAGGGAAAAAAAGCCTGGCCGAGGACGCAAACGGAACCAGGAGAAAAACACCACCCGTAATGCGGAAGAACGTCAGAGAAAACAAAAAAAAAATTCGTTTCGTATTGGCGGTAACCATAAGTTTCGGGTGATTAAATCTCTTACCGAGGATGACCTCAAAAACGATGATGACTACCGCCGCTAGTCACATCGACTCAAGAAGGCTCCATAATCTCCCCACCAAGTATTGGAGGGGAAATGGGCGATCTGACATTCATCAAGAATGTTCGTCATATATATATATATATATATATGTCTTATTTTATTTCATTTTACTTTTTGTTTTCAGTACCTTGGGGGCCCCTCCTAAATTCCTTGCTTTGTGAAGCAACAGCAGAAGCACAACAGACATTCTCCACGAAGTGTTTGCTGCCTTCTGTCTGCTCAATTCTTCACTCGCCATGAAGGGGAATGTTTGGCAACCGTTCTGAAGTCCACTGACGGACGATATAGCACCAAGAAGAAAAACGAGTCCTACCCCGTGGCCACACTACCTTGAAGTATTTTGTTGTAATTGCTTTTATATATGCTGATGTATGTATATATATATATNTATATATATATATATATCTGCCTGTGTGATTGCATGTTGCAGACTCTTGTTCTCAAGTGGAACATTGGTTTTGTGTCATTCTACATGTATTTGGCCAACACAAGTTATATTTCAAGCATGGCTCGGCCCTCCACCCACGTAGTTGGCCTTCTGTTCGCCGTGGCCGTTCTTCTGGTGGGTGAGGCTAATGGAAACCAAAATAGCGCAACGCCCATGTGCAGTGAGGTTCGAGGCTTCGCCAGTGAGCACAATGACCATTTCAGAATTGGCGTTTCGGTGACTCCGTCGGAGAACGAGGCGATTGTCCTTATTGTGCGTGCCTTTCCGCTCAACATTGGCGACCTTGTGCAGCGGTGGGTGCAGCTGAACGCTACGTACCGTCTTCGCGAAGGTACAACAGTCTCCACTTCGTCCAACAACGATGGCATTGTGATTATCCCTAACGTGGAGGCAGGCACAGAAATAAATGTTGAGGTTAAACGCGTGCGGAACGATGGTCCAGTGCCGTTTCGCTTCTGGAGCTACCACGCCAACCGTCCAACGTGCCACATTGACGTTTCAGCTAGTACTTCCTTTCTGGCACCCATTCCTACCCGGTTTCCAGCTGCGGCTGGTTCTGCAAGGGTGTACTTCAAATCTGTGGCGCCCACTGACGCAAAGGGTCTCATGGTGTTGTTTCGCACCAACACGTTCGCGACATCAGCAGTGAGCTTCCAAGTGATGTCTTCGCCCGACGTTCAGTTTGGCGAGACGCACAACAGCGAAGTGGTCTTCCCATGGAGTCAGGGCGTGGTTTATTTTATGTTCGATCCCTCAACTTCAATGCATAGCCCGTTGATGGTGCAAGTCAGTGTCCTATGGACAGATAACGTAAATGAGAATAGTGCTGCTCCAACGACAGGACCGCCAGGTGAACACACATCCTCGTTTACGTCTAATCCGACAGTGCTGCCATCGTCAAACGAGTCAGGGAAGAAGGAGTTAGGACATCAAAACAAGGGACATTCTGCCCTCGGATTTATTGTTCTACTGATTTTCGTCTTCATTATATACATGGTTGTTATGTCAGCTGTTAACTACCGCCTGAAGGGCATGGTGGAGTTCCCAGAGATGATTCCGCACAATAGCTTTTTCCGCTCCGGTCTTCAGTACTTCTCACTGGTGAAGAGTAGCTTCCGCCAGGGCAACGTCCGCGGGGGCTATCAGGATCTGAACCGTCAGGAGATGAGCACGGACAGCTTCTAAGAGAGATGAGGCGAATTGCTCTTCTTGGGGATGCCCCAAGACGGCCTGTTGAATGAAATTGTAAATGGTCGAGGAGAGGGGGCAAGAAAAGTGCGTGTATGTGTGTGCGTTTGAGTGCAATTCTGTGTAGAAACTCTTTGTTTTTGCCTTTTCAAAAACGGGAGGCCGCTAGAAATGTGAAAGTATGTTTTTTTTTCTTTTTAAAAAGGTGTTTTCATCGTCTCTTTACACCTTTCATGTGTTTCGCAGCCTTCAGCGCAACGTTGAGTTGTTGGCAGCCGCCCATGCGTACGACTTGGCTCTCTCGGTTTATTAGTTTCTGTCTCCCTATCTCCCTTGGCGGTGTGCTTGGAGCTTGTTTCATTCCCCGCTCCACACCTTCAACGTTCCCTTAGTGAAAGGTCGTGCCCTCTGGGGGGACGAACGGGCGACTGTTTAGAGTGGTTATGAGTAAGCGTCTCCTTGCGTCGCAGCACCGAGCCGCGGGCGTCGCCGCTGCCCTGTTGCAGCAGCGCCGCTGGGTTACGCGGCTCTACACCTCCTACTACCCCGGCGAGTTGTACCCCAATCAGCTTGTGCAGCCGAAACAGCGTCTACCAGCTGGCTTTGCTGCCAGCACAGTACTGAAGAAAGGAATGGCCACAGAAAAAACGACGACACCGCCAAGTAGGAGTCAGACCTCAAAGAGTACTGGCGAAGTAGGAGAAGAAGAGACGCGTGGGGTTTCGTGGCGCGACGCCGGTAGCACAGATGTCATGCATGCGCCAGATGCGCGTCAGCTGCGTGATACAGCCCCGGTGGTGGAGCGGCCGTACGTGCCGCTGGGTGAAGTGGCGAAGCTGGAGCTGCAGGGCGACTACTACATGGAGGGTGGCCTCTTCCAGGAGGCACTTGAGCACTACGGCGTCGTTGCCAAGGCGTACGCCCTAGCGTACCCCGAAAACCATTCGCAACGCGTTGGTATCCTGTTGAAGCTGTCAGCTGCCTTCCGCCACGTTGGCCGCGCTGAGAGCAGTAGGGCAAACCTTGAGGACGCGCTGCGCATGCTGGACGCGTCGAGCCGGCCGTCCCTCGAGCTCATCTGCGAGGCACTACTGGAGGTCGGGCTGACGCGTGAGGCCTTGGATGCGAAGCGGGAGGCAGCAGAGGCGTATGAAGAGGCGGTGGAGGTGATGAATATGTTCCATAACTTGGGCGAATCACATAGGATGCTGCGTCTGCTGCCGCGTCTTGGTCGACGCTTTAACCTCAACTACGAGGCCAAGTTTGTGTACTTCAGCCCGTTTGACTACGACCGCACCTTCGCCATCGCAGACCAGTGTATGGAGCGCGCCGAGCGGGTGCTCCGCGAGATTGGGGATCGTGAGGGGACGATTCGTGTGCTGCAGCGGCGGAAGGAAATGATTGACAAGAAGTTCTTCAATCTGCGTGACTTCGCCGGCCGGATTCACACCATGCGGGGCCACTGGATGCGACGGGCACAGCACCTGACGAATGCGCCCACGCCTGACGAGTTGCTGCGGTACTCGCCGACCATCCACCAGGTACACCGCGACTTCAAGTACGAACTCACAGCGCCTATTGGGCGCGAGAAGGAGGTGTTGCCTGGTGTCAATCGTGTGGTGGTCGGCATGGGCAACCCGTACCGAAAACGAGGGCGGTTGTCGAACAAGATGTTGCGAGATGCAGATGGCAATTTCGCCAAGTATGTTCGGCAGCAAGAGTACAATGAGTAGCAGAGAGAGAGAGAGAGAAAGGAGGAGGGAGAGAGAGAGAGAGCGCAAATGGTGGGACTATGAGGATTATTCGTGATGGCACGCAGGTATCACGACACACATATGTGCAGGCGTATACGTAAAAAAAAAGAGTTCTTTGTTACGAAATGTAAAACTGTGGTAATTATTTTCCATTATGTGGCCCTCATGTGTGTTTCCTTTTATCCTCCTTACTCTTAGGTTTTGTAGCTGGCAGAAATCTATATCCGCTAAAGTCACTCATGTCTGTTGTGACCCCGCCGCATTATGTGCGGTTAAAGCGTCACAACCTGACTATCTTCCTTCATTGCGACGTGAATCACGATACCGTTCAAGCTATCAAGGAAAGATACGAAAAATTGACAGGTCGCACATTCTACACTGTTCGGTTGTACCTTGGGCGGCAGAACCTCGAAGACTTTTCTACGCTCTACAACTGTGGCATTGAAGGTGAAGACGCTGAGCTAGTAGTAGTGCATTCGAAGGGGTTGAAAACGGACGGCTCAAGGGAGCATATTTGGGAGGAAGTAGAGGAGGCGATGAGGCCGCCACCGCCATCGAAGGAGGAGCGGCAGCAGACACTGGAGAGTGGCGATGCTGCAGAGTCCCGTGAGGGTGGCGAGCCAGTAGAGGAGGGCGGCAATGCTGGGCTGGTGACACGCACAGAGGACCGAGGTCTTTTGTTCATAGAACCCAACGCGGCATAGATTACGGTATGGCCTTCTCCAGTTTCAGGTTGTGGCGTGGTCGTGCGACAATGCTGGTGCGGAGATGTATGTTGAAGCTCTTTTATTTTTGATGTATGTAAAGAAGAACGAAACGACGTTTGTATTTTCTTGTTTATCTGGATTTGCTCTGTTTCTTTTGTTGCTGCCGCTCTTGGAAGACTGCGCAGCCTCTTCTCGACTTTTTCATTCTCCCAAAGTTGTTGTGATAGGCTGGGCTGAAGAGAATTATGACCATCGACATGGACGTCATGCGGGAGGCCCTCCTGCGGGCGCAGTACGGTAGGAGAGAGACACCGCGTCTCGTGGACTTTCCCCCTTCTGTACCGCCGAAGGAAGTGGAGGACGTTTATTTGTCATTCCTCACAAAAGAAGAGGCGCAGATGCGGCAGGGATTAAAACTCGGAGAAGTGCAAATTGTCGGTTATGGTAACAGTTCCGAAGTAACTCTGGCAGGAGATGCCATCGCCGGAGCACTGCTCTTATCCAATGAGTTGTTTATTGAAACGGTACATCCTTAATCGTGGTTGAGGGCGCCGTTATTTGTTGTTGTTTGTGCGCATCCAAACTGGAGCTTGTGGAAGTGCGCGTGTGCCTTTTGTTCCCCTTGGGGTAGCGGAGGGTGAAGAGGGGCGGGAAGTTAATCCGGGAGATGAATCAAAAGGTACATGTCTCTCTTCGTTTGCTGTGCTCGCCCTCGCCGCCTCTGTAGAGTCGGTAATACGCCGTCCATGTCGCTGCGTGGTATAGCCGTGTAACTTGAGAAGCTGTGCAAAACGGCAGGTGTTCGCAGTGGCGTTGTGTCGCTGCTGCAGAACGAAAGAGAGAGAGTCGGGGAATGGACGGTGATGATCAACACATTGCGTGGGACACTTCGGCGCAAAAGTGGGAAAACAACCCTGGTAGGGCCCATAAGGCATCATGAGCAATGCGATAAGTTGAAAGGAGATAAGGCGATGTCACTAAAGAGAATGACAATGGGCAAGCCAAGTAATGTGGTGATAGTGGCCGTGAGGGAGCCGGTGTGAAGACTTGTGGTCGACCGGGAGGTCGCAGAGAATGCTGCACGGACCACTTTCCACAGACATTAGTGCGGCGTCGCGTTTCGTGGACAATTCGCGTGGTGGTGAAATTGGTGAGAAGCGAAAAGACAATAAAGGCGTACCGTATATTTCGTTCCCGCATCAGATCTCGTTGAAGAGCCTCTCTGCGTCATGGATGCGATTGTTGAAAAGACGGAGAGCATGTTTTGCTACCATAGATGCGCTTCGTGGCATGTTGTTGATGATTCGGTTGCGACACTTCTACACGAACTGGTCAGTAAGCGGCACCTACGTGTCCTCGTGTCGGATTCCAACCAGGTTGCTTCTCACCTTCTGCCGTTATTCATGTCCCTGCTTCATGATGATAAAGTGCAGCACCACGCAGTTGCCAAGCTCCCATCATTTAAATGGCTGAGTCTGACCGGGAACCCCATTCCTACACGCATGGAAGATGAAGACATGCAGGCCGCTTGAAAGAGATGTGCATCGTCTATATTGCGTCGTTGGGCGGTGCATGTGGCACCAAGAGTTGCAATAGAACAGAAAACAAAACAGAGGAACAGGAAATGAACGTGAGTACCTGCAGTTGGCAGCGATTGATGCTGCCGGAATGAAAGCTCACCCCGACGCCTTGGCCCTTTCCTTTTTTTTGCTTCGGCAACTGCGCAAGGCTACATGATCATTTGGAAGAGGGTCAACGTCTTCTGTGTGGCATCCTTTTCGACTATTGCCGATCTTCCATGGATCTGAGGATATCTGCAAGTCGTATGGTCAGATGGTTTTCTGTTCATCACGGAACGTGTCATAACACGCATTGCTGCGCTTATTGCCATAATGAATGATATATATACATGGCGGAGTGGCGACTACTAGTACTACCACCATTTCTATGCAACGCGGCTCGACACCGTTTAGCGCGGTCCTCTTGTACTGTAGACGAAGTGAAATGTCACTCACAGGAATTGAGGCTGTCACCTGGAAGCATATTATTATTTCTTTTTTTTTTTTCGTGGCTCAAAGAAGACCTGTTGCTGTGGGATTTCGTTGCCGCGTCAAATGTGTCACAACACGGTCATTGTCGCGGTGCGCTCAGAAAGAGGGGAGGGACGAAGTGTGGTGCCACTTTGAGCTTCTAAAGGTCCTGTTGGTGTGTTATTGTGCGCCCGATAGGGTGGGGGCCTGTGATGTGGCATGCGGATGTGGCGGTAAGCTATGATTTTGTCTTTTCTATGTTGCAGCTTGTTTGCGAATGTCTCGAGGGCACCGTCGGTTACCTGCAGCGTTCACTTCAAGTTATGGTTTCCCCCTCCCCTGAGGAGATGAATGGTGCTGGCAAGACATCGAGTGGGTGGCCGCGACGACTGACGGAGTGGCATGCGCCTGAACGGTTCCCGAAGGTCAGATAAGCCGAAATGTGGTCCCAATGTTGATGCCGACATGACCGCGATCTGGTTGTGTGTGTCTGTGTGTCGTGGGTCGCCCTGTTTAAAGGTTGGAAGTTTCAATATGGGCAGCATTTTGGGTTCCTTTTTTTTTTATGGACAATCGACACTTGGCGCGCAACGTGTGTTCTGCATAATGTTCCAATGTAGTGGTAGATTCACGTCTTTCCCTGCCTCCATTCGCGCATTTCTTTTTTTTTTTTGCTTTGGCTGCTTCGCTTTCTCATGCGCATCTCTGCAGATGTATTGTGGGAAACATGGAGACTGTTGTATTACTTCAGCGCCAGATGGAGCTTCACGGGACGCTCCGCCGACCTCCCACCACACCCACGCAACTGAAGGAAACCTACGCGACGATGAAGGAGGTGTCAAATTTCTTCCACACCGTGAGGTGCACGGCAGCTTCACTCAATAGTTCGCCAGAGACGGTCTTTCAATGTCTCATGCACATTGGTATGGGTGGCGTTGTCAGCTTCGACCGGCAGCGGCGGGATGGAGCGGTGCCGATGCACCAGGCAAAAGTACTGGCACGTTCAACGGCAATTGAATTGGAGCCACGTCTCCAAGAGACTCTCCCTGGTGCCAAACTCGATGCGATGGTGGCGTTTAGCAAGACAACCCGCACACTTCTGCGCATTAAGATTGAAGATGGGAATGATTTTGCCACCGCCGAGCGTGCGCTGCAGCAGTTTCTTGAATACCTTGACTTCATTAATTTCGCTTCGGGCAAGTCCCCGGAGATGATGTTCAAGTTATACATGGTGGAGGATGAGGCATCACTGTTGGCACTGTTGGGCCGAGGCGTCCCTTCTGGGTCCCGTGGATCTTCCGAAAACAGGGCAGCAGATACAATGCCTTCCCTGCCAACTGACGCGCATCTGGATGGCGAAGTGTGCCGACTCGCGCAGGTGTCTGAGTCTACTACAGAAGCAGCAGGGGAGCGCCTAAGCGCGTTGCGGACAATCGATCACTGGCTCAGTACTATAGCGGAGGATAAATTTTGCAATCATATTTCCCAGCTTGTGTCAAGCCTTTCTGGGCCCCTGTGTGTTTGTGCTGGAGAAAAACGGTCTGCTATTTGCCGACAGGCATGCAGTGTAATTATTACCATCTCAGAAAGAACCCCCGCAGCCTTCTACCTCGACGGGCCGCTGAAAATAGCCATCGCCAAGTGGTGCACTGTCCTAGTGCGTGGTGTGTTTGTTACCGTCTCGGCCATTGCGCACGCCACGGACACGGCACTGCGCGCTATCGTTGTTGGCAGCAGCGGAAACGCGGCGGCGCTAAAGAGTATTTTAGAGGGTCTGGAGGCCGGTGCCCACCCTGAGCTGCGGCGCCGGTGCCTTGGCTATTTAGCCCTTGGCGTCGTTGCGTCGCGTGGTGACGTGTGTGTGGTGTTACATGGACTCGCTGTTGTGGCTGCGAAGTACACAGATATCGGCGACACCGCGTGTAGGAAGATGGCGCGAGCACTCTGTATATCCATTGCGCACTTCACTAACACACCCGTCGCTGTGGGGAGCCCCAAGACGGAGACACTTATTCGTCAGGAGGCAATAGAGCTCAAAGCGATACTTGGTGACGTGGATGTATTCGAAACCGCAATATTTGGTGCTAGTGTGGAGAAGCGGCTTTCAACTGCCTCCAGCTCAGCGTGCAGCACCACACACTTCAGTACCACTGCCTCTTCATCGATGGCAGAAGCGAAGCACGATGGCCAGATGTCGCCGACTGGAAGTAATTACGATACTCTCCCTGTTCTCGGTGTGTGCAAAGCTCAACACGAGTCAAGGCAAATGAGTTCGTCCCCAAACACCACGTGGGGCAATTGTAGTAGCAGCAGCACCACCACCAATGGGCGCTACAACAATCGCATGCAGCCTCCTCATCAGGAGGATATCATCGAGCCAAGGCCTTACAAGCAGCATGAAGAGAACACGGTAAAGTTAAGTGCTTCACTGCGTCGGAAAATTCAGGACGCCGCTTCACGCTCATTGTCACGAAACTAACACCAGAACCAGACAGCCAGCGTTTAGTGTTGTTCATTGATTCTTGTAGGGTGACCTTCTCTGTGATGCATTTTTTTTTTCGTTGGTACCGCAGTACTCCAAAGCATAGAATCATTCCCCCCATGCATGGCAGCTTGTTGGGAGGAGGGAAAGGGAAGGGAACAGGACGAGGAAATGGGAAGGTGAAGGTGTACGTTCTACGAGTAAGCAGAAAAAAGAAGCAATACGTGAAGCATGGCGGGAGGATATGAAAGGCCTAGACGTCAGTCATCAAATTAAATTTAGAGGGGAAACTTCGAATCTCTTGACTAAACGATATATCCAGTTGAGCAACTTATGTTCATCCACCCAACTGCGCTGGCCTGATTGTTGCCATTCTTGACTTTATTGCTTCCTTGTTGCCTATTTTGTTCAGAGTTGGAAGGAGACACGGTGTAGCGTAGGGATAGGGTATACACATAAGAGGGAAAACGAGTGTGAGAGCGAGGCGATGACGTACAACCCCCCAGTCAAGAAGCCGCGCGTCGAGCAAAGCCGTGATGCGAAGCCGTGGGTAGAGAAGTACCGACCAAAGACACTCGACGAGGTGAAGTCGCAGGAGGAGGCGGTGCAGGCGCTGCGGGCCAGCCTGCAGAAAGGGGCAAGCATGCCGCACTTCCTCTTCCATGGCCCGCCTGGCACGGGGAAGACGACCGCCATCCTTGCTGTTGCGCAGGAACTCTTCGGGCCCGACTACGTGCACAGCCGTGTGCGAGAGCTAAACGCGAGTGACGATCGCGGCATCCAAGTAATACGCGAGAAAGTGAAGGTGTTCGCGCAGATGGCGGTCGGGAATGTTGGGCAGAAGGTGCAATCAGACGGGAAAGTGTACCCTGTCCCATCTTTTAAGCTCATCATCCTTGATGAGGCGGATGCGTTGCTGCCAGATGCGCAGGCGGCTCTGCGTCGCATGATGGAGGACTTTAGTGACGTCACGCGTTTCTGTATTCTATGCAACTACGTCAGTCGCATCATTGATCCCATAGCGAGCCGGTGTGCCAAGTACCGCTTTAAACCCTTGGTGAGGCACGCGCTGCATGACCGTATTCGCGAAATAGCCCAGATGGAGCAGCTGAAGCTTTCTGACTCTTCGTTGGAGGCGTTGGACCGTGTAAGTGGCGGGGACCTTCGGTCTGCAATTATGTGTCTGCAGTATGCGCAGAAGGCGCACGGGAATGATCTCGCAGATGAAGATTTTGTTGCGGTCTCTGGTAGTGTGCCGGTGGACACGATGCAGCGCTACATTGCGGCGCTAGTCTCGAAGAGTTTTGATGACATGTGTGTCATGACGAAGGAACTCGTCGCGCAAGGATACCCGGCCGGCCAGATTCTCTCGCAGCTGCAGCAATACATTGTGAGCGCCGTCTGCCCGTTAGGCTCCGCGCAGCGGGGGGCCATCGCATTGAAGATGTGTGACGTTGAAAAGTGCCTATCGGACGGTGGAGACGACCTTTTGCAGCTACTTGACTTGGGGGCTGCGGTTTGCGCCGTATGACGTAGCGACAGTTTTTGCACGCAGACACACACACACAATCATACGGGAGAGGAAATACAGAAGGCGGTAAAAGGACATAGATGCTCTTGGCATGCATTTGAAGTCAACGGTGGTATCGGTGATTGATTGACTCGGAAGAAGTTACTGTGTGATGCGGTGAGGCTGTGAGAATAAAACATTGGTGGGGAGGGAAATGAGCGCCTAAAGTGGCCGAAGTACCTAACTTTCATTTGCCTTCATGATCGTTGTTGCCGTGTCGTGTGCACTGTTCTTTTTTTTTTCTCTTTTCGTGTGGGGGTGTTACCATGGACTACACTTTCCTCTAAGCACTCCTGATTTTCTTTTTTTCTTTTTTTACTGCATTAGCCTGTACCAAAGACGTGTTTTTTTTTTTAAGATACGTTACCTGTGAAGGTAACCAATTGCGATTACACAAAACAACAAAGATTGGTAGAGCCGTTCCTGTGAAGCACGGGGAAAGTTGACATGGAGGTCGCTGAACATCAGGAGCAGGCGAACAACAGTGTGTCAATCCCGTCCAGGACGAGCCTTGAGCTGCCAATTCCGCGGCACCCGCCCTCCGTCGGGTGTCAGCACTCCAACGGCTCGGTGGGATGCGGCAACAGCTCCAGCAGGAACTCTGTGCACCGCAACAGCAGGTCTGGTGTGCACAGCAACTCGGTATCGGAGACGCCGACCGCGTACCGCAGGAGCTACAGCCTCACGGAGGAGAGTGCCCCACCTCCGCCAAAGAAAATGGAGGTGTCGCGCGAAGTTCAGCCCTCGCACGCGCGCCCGGACTGGAATAGCCACCGCAGCCAGGTTGATGCATCACCGAAAGAGAAGTTGCCGCGCATCAATGTACATGTAAAGAATAAGTACGACTTTTTATACAATGGAAAGAGTGTCACGGATGCCAAGAAAACGCCTTACCAGCGTCACATGTACGACGATTTTTCTGGTTTCCAAAGAGACAAAGATGCGGGTTGTTCACCTAGTACACAGTATAAAAGAGGTTTGGTTGAGGCATTGCGTCGGGTGGACTTTGCATCCGCATTGGCGCATTATGATAGGGGGGATAAGGATTCGGTCATTCTGAAGAATGCTGAATTGCTTTTTGAAGTGCTCGCCATGCGTACGACCTTCATCACACCGGAAATGTTGCATGAGCACTTTCTTCTATGTACCCCACCCGGTGTGGCGCCGTACGAGGCGTATGATTTTCTCAAGGAATCGTGCGAGGGTAAAAAAGAACTGAGTTTTCCGTGTTTTTTGCAATATGGAGACAAATTGCGGGATCGCGTCTTCGCATATGATAACTTTGTGTCACTGGAGGATAGCGAGAAAATCGCGGCGATTGCTGAGCGGGTGTTGAAAGGGGCGTCACCGTCACCGAGGAGCAGCGAGGCGCGACATATTCTTATCAAGGCCTTGGAGAATCAAGAGGAAGGTCATATGACGGGTGAGGTGCGTCCTATGCGTCTGTACGAGCTGCTGTTCCTCGCCGATATGCAGAGAAAGGCGGGCCGCCCGGGCGCCTTACTGTCTTCCAAGGCGCACCGCAAACTCTCTAGCAGCGCCACCAACACGGCGGAGTTGCCGGCCGCACGCAAAAAGAGTTGCGGCGAGGAGGTTTCATGGGAGGGCGAACACAGCAAGAGGAAAAAGAACAACGGCAACTGCGAAGCCAACAAAATCAACGTGAACAGTGGGAGTAGCAACGTGTACCCAACCGAGGAGTACGTTCTGCACCCGGTGGAGAGTCAGGGACAGCTGACCCAAGGAGGGAGCACGCGGGAAAGAAAATCAAAGTCGCGTGGGGGAAACACCGTCAGCACCACCAGTTCACGGTCAAAACGAAACCCCTACTGTGGTCGCACAAAGGGCCGCCATGCGACGCCAAATAAACATGGGGCTTCTGTTCCGAAAAACGTGGACGACGAGGCGCTTGCGCTGGAGCGCTTTGATGAGGCGTGTGATCAGCGCCACCGCAAAGACGATGCACTCATCCAGACACTGGAAAAGAAGTATGTTTATGCGAGTCCAAAAGGCCTGAATTTGTAGTAATTCATACAGAAGGGGAAAAAAAAANAAAGAAGTATGTTTATGCGAGTCCAAAAGGCCTGAATTTGTAGTAATTCATACAGAAGGGGAAAAAAAAAGCAAGCTCATACAAGATGTTACGGGTCATTTCACTCGGCATCACACATACACCTCCATTTTTCATACATTCACTGGTCAATGTGTGTCTCAATACAGTAGCTTTCCCAACGTATCCCTTCCGTTTTGGATATTGTATGTGGTTGTATTGTTTTTGTTTTTAGCTACGCCCATAGTGGCGATGTATGCTTTAGTGATGAAGTGCGTATTGTACGTCGCTTGGTCTTCATGGACTTCTTTTTTTTTTTGCCCTCACTATGACTGCCCGTCATGTCATTGCCTTCCTTCGTTTTTGTCTTGTTTTTTTTTTT